CCCCTGTCGCTTTCCCTGGGGCCCCAACCCTATGCCCAGGTGCACCCCCTCTGTTCGCAGCGTCCCTCCTCCTTTTCTCATGCCTCCCCCACTTTTTACTCCGCTTCAGCTGAGCCCCATAGTCCATTCCATGGGACCAAGCAGAGTTTGGGGATCCCCGAATCTCGTATCTCCCTGGTGGCTCACCTATTCGGCGCTGGCCCCAGGACGGGGGTGACTCGGAGAGGGGTCCCCCTAATTGGTGTTCGGCCTCCTCGTCCCGCACTGACTTCTCGGTCCCCCAGACCCGGGCCTGGCCCACCTTTGCGCAGGTCCACGGAGCGCAGCTCGAAGGGGATGCCGTTCTTCTTGGCGAAGATGTAGACGGCGCGGCAGGGTTGGGTCAGCAGGTCCAGGTAGAGCTCCAGGCCCATGGCGGGGGCGAACCAGCCTCGCAAAGCAAGGGATACGGAACACAGCAAGTCCAGCGCTGGGTCTGACGAGAAGCAGCGCGGCCCGCCCCCCTGGTGGCTCCCCATTGGCGTTCCGGCCGCGCACTTGGGTGCAATCCCGGAAGCCTGGCGAGTCTGCGGGCTGGGCGGGGGCTCCGGATGGTCCCCCTGGGGGAGGCGGGTGGGGGTGCTTAGAGGGCCCCCAGGCCCAAGCTCATCTCACTGAGCATAACGTCTTCAAGGCTCCTCCTAGTTGTAGCGTGTGTCAGAACTTCCTGTTTTACGGATGAGAAAATTGAGGCCCACAGTGATTACAGGTCCAGAAAGTCTGACTCCAGCATCTACGCTCTTGGCCACAAGCTGCAGAGATCCTGGCGCCAGCAAGAGGCAAAGCCTCAGGGCTTACGGTCAGCGTGGTGGGCTAACTCACTTCGCCCCGGTGCGCGCCCTGGACTCTGACAGCAGGTCTTCCTGCTCCTGCCAGCCCAGTGCCTCAATCTCGTTCCCTGGGTTTGTTTCTTCCCTCCTCTGGGCCTCTGTTTCCCCACCTTTAAAATGATGGAGCAATCCCACTGAAAGATCCAGCAATCCCACTTCTGGGCATATATCCAAAGAAAATGAAAACAGGATCTGGAAGAGATATCTGTAATCCCATGTTCATTGCAGCATTATTCACAATAGCCAAGATATGGAAACAACCTAAGCGTCTGTTAAGGGGTGAATGGATAAAGAAAATTTGGAGAATATACACTGACACATACAGAGGAATCTTTCATTCAGCCTTTAGAAAGAAGGAAATCTTGTCATTTGCAACAACATGGATGAACCTGGAGGTCATTATGCTAAGTGAAATAAGACAGAAAGACAAATACTGCCTGATCTCACTTATGCTGTGTGGAATCTAAAAAAAGTGGAACTCTAACAAGCAGAGAGTAGACGGTGGTTACCAGGGGCTGGAGGGAGAGAGGGGAAATGGCAACATACTGGTCAAAGGGTATAAAGTTTTGAATACCCAAGATAAATAAGTTATGGAGATCTAATGCACAGCATGGTGACTATAGTTAACAGCACTGCATGGTATACCTGAAACTTGCTGGGTAGTTCTTAATTATTCTCAGCAAGAACAAAAAATGGTAACTGTCTGCTGAAAGGAAAAAAAAAAGAAACACAACCTGAGTGTTGTGAGTGAAGTTTGATCCAGGGTCTCACTGAAAACTACAGCACAGGAGACAGCCTTTCCAAAAATCCAGTGTTTGTTTCATTGATCTTCTCTACTGTTTTTCTCTTCTCTATTTCATTTATCTCCACTGGAATCTTTATTATTTCTTTTCTTCTGATGGTTGTGATTTGAGATCTGTATGCCTTTACAGCTACAAATTTGCTTTACAGCCCTGCTTCTGCTGCATCCCATAAGTTTGGGTGTGTTGTGTTTTTGTTTTCATTTGTTCAAAGTACTTTCTAATTTCCCTTGTGATTTCTTCTTTGATCCACTGGTTGTTTAAAAATGGATTGTTTAATTTCCAGATATTTCATTTTGTAGTTTTCCTTCTGTTGTTCTCATTTCATTCCACTGTGTTCAGAAACACACACTATGATTTCAATCTGTTTAAATTTCTTGGGATTTATTTTATGGCTTCACAAAGGATCTAACCTGGAGAATACTGTATGTGCCCTTGAGAAGAACGTGTATTCTGTGTTTTGGGTGCAGTGCTATGTATGTGTAGTTGGCAGGCAGATTAGTTTAGGGTGTTGCTCAATCATCCATTTCCTTGGGGATCTTTGGTCTCACTATTTTATCCATTAGTGAAAGTAGAGCACTGAAGTCTCAACTCTTATTATTGACAGTTTAATCATATTTAACCTTTAATTTTCAAATTCTTTTTGGAAGCTGGGGGGACTCGTGACCGCCCCCCAGACCCACCACATCAGATGTGCGTCCCAGGCTCAGCAACCGTGGCGGTTGTTCCAGTTCACTGAAAAACAGTGATTTTCAGCGTCTCCCCTAAGGTAGGAGGCGCCGGGGCCTGGGCCGGCCAGGCCCGCAGGCTGGGCTGCCTCTACGTGAACTGCTGCAGCAAATCGCAGATCCTCTCCTTGACCATCGGATCCAGCGTGGAGCAGTCCCACTCCGCCAACTTCACCAGCCGGTCGTGGGCCTCCCAGAAGAGGCCGGAGCCGACGGCCAGCTCCACCCTCATGCGCCACTCGGCCAGCTTGGAGCTGTTGAGGAAGACGTTATGGTTGCCCGCCATGGGCTGTGGAGAGACAGAGAGGAAGGCATGGTCAGCCTGTGGACCAGCCCCACCTGGGTCCCTCCTACAGCTGCAGGGCTCTCCCCATCTGTCCCTGTGGACAGGGAGCTGACTAACCCCTGAGGCCTGGTCAGGTGTCGCAGGCCATGTAACACATGTGGGTGGGGATGGACGATCCCTGGGGGCTCTCAGTCGCTGATCTTGCTCCAAGGCTCCTGAATCCCTCTCTAAGGGACCTCTGGCCCAGGGGTTCCCACTTCTCCAGCGTGAAACCTCCCAGGGGTCCTACCCTCTTCCAGGGAAACCCCTTGTCCCCAGATGAGGGTGGGAGGAATTCAGTTATTTTTTCCCCCTGTTGAACCTCCCTCTGTGATCAAGCACAGGGGCGGGGACGAGAAAGCCATGAGGCAGCCTAAGAAACATGCACACAAGATGTTTGGGGGGTTGTGGATGAAATTTAAGGGGTGGGGGTGAAACTGAGGGGACTGCACCACCTGGGACAGGAAGATTGGAATGTTTTTTTCCCAGTGCTGCATCCACACTGCACACTGACCAGGGCCACTTTGCATACTGGCCAGGGTCTCAACAGCATCCTGCACACCAGCTAGGTCAGGACTGGTCACCCTCCCCTGCACATAGAAACCACATAAATGCCGCCCCACACCCAGGTGTGTCCCCCCATGCACAGCGGATGCCCCTCAGACCCAGAGCCAGGGAGCTGCTCTGTACAACTATCTGTCTGGAGCTCTGGAAAAGAGGCACTTTGGCTGGAAGGACACTTTGGAAGCCTCTGGACAATTTCCGGAGAGTCCGGCGGGAGGAGGAGGCATCCAGGATCCTGGCCGACTGACCAAGAAACACTGTGTTCTTCTCCTTGTCCCACGCTGGCCCTCCAGCTCCTGCCCCCACAGAGGACTCTTGGTGAAGCATGAATGACCACGACCCTCCCCGGTTCAAAACCTGTGTTTCCTGTGGCCCCCGGGTCAAGGCCAGACACCCAGGCGTGGCTCCCACAGTCCCCACATCTCCCCGTTCACCAGCCTTTCTGAAAGTTGTGGTCACAGAGGAGTCCCTCCTCCGTCCGGGCTCCATCCCCCCATCACCCCACCGCACACCTGCATCATCTCCACCAGGGCTACCAAGTCGGCCAGGGAGACGTTGTCCCCGGTGATGAACATCTTCTCCTGCAGAAACTTTTCCTCGAAGAGCTTCAGGTTGTTTTCCACCTCTGCCAGCACCCGCTCTGTCTTCTCAGCTGGAACTTCCTCACCCGTGATCATCGGGATCAGCAGCTGGCCGGGGCGGGGGGAGCGAGAGGAGGCCATATCTGACCCTCCAGGTCTCAGTACCCTTTTCTGCTAGAGAGGTGGTGGACAGTACCTAGGATGTAACGTGGTGTCACCTCTTTTAGCAGTTCTGGTTGGTAGAAGTTGCCTGGGGCCCTTGTTCAGAAGGATTTGAGGTCCCAGCAGGAAAGAATCCTATGATTGATTACTGATATCTGTCACAGGCATAGGATAAGAAGTAGGGACACATGTACTAGTTATTTGTCATCTTCAAATCTGGTAGCCTTTATGGGCCCTTCGACTCTGGGTTTTTTTTTTTTTGCGGGGGGG